CCGAAGGAGCCTGCACCAACCAAGGAACCAGGTCCCACCGCCCAGAAGAAGCCCGCACCAGCCACCACCAAGGAACCAGGTCCCACCACTCCCAAGGAATCTCCACCCACTACATCCAAAGAGCCACCCCCCACTACGTCTAAGGAGGCAGTCCCCACTACCCCTGAGAAGCCTGCCCCAGCTACTTATATGACATCAGCTCCAACCACCACCATGAAGCCTCCCACTACACCAAACACATCTGTTGAAGCAACTCCTGAGTTTTCTTTAGAACCCACACCAAAAGCTCTTAACGAAAGTCCCAAGGAGCCTGCTATACTGACAACTGAGACTCCTGCAGTGACCAAACCTGAAATGACCACAACAGCTAAAGACAAGACAACAGAAAAAGAAATACATCCTACATCTGAAATTACAACTGATGCACTCAAGATTACAACAAAAGAGACAGCAACTATAGCAGAAAAGTCTGACTCCAAAATAACAAGTACCACCACACAAGTAACATCTACAACTCAAGATACTACACCATTCAAAATTACTTTGAAAGCAACAACTTTTGCACCCAAAGTAACTACTACAACTGAAGAGACTATGAACAAACCTGAAGAAACAACCACTGGACCAAAAGATATACCTACTAATTCTAAAGCAACAACTCCAAAACCTCAGAAGCCAACCAAAGCACCCAAAAAGCCTTCTACCAAAAAGCCAACTAAAGCACCCAAAAAGCCTATTTCTACCAAAAAGCCAAGCATACCTAAAGTGCGAAAACCAAAGACTACACCAACTCCCTCAAAGATGACAACAATGTCTGAAATGAACCCTACCTCTTTGGCAAAATACATAATCCAAACCACCACTAGTCCTAACCAGACTCCACATTCAGAAATAGCTGAAGGAAATCCAAAAAATCCAAATGAAGATGTAGTTGGCACTGAAGGAGAAAAGCTTCACATGATTCCCAGGCCTCATGTGTTAACTCCTATCACTAGTCCAGGCATTGATCACTTAGTGAGACTACCCAATCAAGGGATTAACATCAACTCCATGCTTTCAGGTAGTATCAGTTACTTTCATTTAAAACTTGTTAGTTTCTACTGATCTTAACCAGAATGCTTTTATTTACTTTACTGAGATGTATTATTTAGAACCCCAATTTTACTAATTTGTGAAGTTTTTCAGCTTCCCTCTCAGTAAGCATAGTAAGCTCATTTAACTTTCAGACAACTGAGTAATAATGTAGGGTTAGGAATTTAGCTTATCTGTATGTAAGAAACAACCCAAACAGCAGACTAAAAATATCATTTTAAATATACAAAATGCCTATATTAATATCAAAACTTGGCCCATTCAGATTATAACAATACTTTCCAATAGTATCATCTTTAGGTAAGATAGAATTATGAAATGTATCACTTTTTTATCTCTAAATTATAAATGCTTCAAACTGTGCCCTTCAAGAACTTATGAAGATAAACAGGAAACAATCCTGAGAGGATGTGAAATTTCTCATTCTGTTCCTTAATTTTTTGTGAATTTGTTTTAGATGAGACCAATTTATGCAATGGTAAGCCAGTAGATGGACTGACTACTTTGTACAATGGTACATTAGTTGCATTTCGAGGTGAGTTACATACATATTTCAGTTTCTGCCTATTATTTTGCTCTGGTATTTATCAGAACCCAACTCATGGGAGATAGCTAGCTTGGGTTGAACTTTCTGGAGGGGAACTTGATGAACAAATCTGTCTCATAATGAGAATCTAAAAGTTATTACCAAAATACTGGCAAACAAAATTACACACATTATAATAAAACAAAGATCTTGAACTGATACTACTTAGGTTTTACCCTCAATTGTGATGTGATTAAGGGTGTTAACCTTGGAAAATAATGATGCTATTTTTTTTTTTTTTTTGGTACCGAGGACTGAACTTGGGACCTTGTGCTTGCCTGGCAGGCGCCGGAACCACTGAGCTAAATCCCCAGCCCAACCTTGGAAAATAATGAAAATAGCAGTTATTTCATGTTCTTCTTAAAATATATTTAAATATACGAACAGAAATACATGGTAGAGGCTAAAAAGATCTTAGTAATTAAATTATAATTTTTTAATTTTGAAAGATAAAGACATTGAAATCCAGAAAGAAATGATTTTCTGTTAAGTCACACAATGAAAAGGCTCTTTCTAGAGTAGCTAGAAAACTAAAATATTTGGTTATGCTAAATTTCATACTTGGGGAATATCTGTTCAGAAATATTCAAATACTCCCTTCTGCATCTGATTATACTTCTAGTCATATCTTTTTAACATATTCAATCTGTTCTTTATAATAACCATTAAAAGGTTTTCATTTTGGTTTCTTTGGGGATGAGTTTCAGTACTTAGCTTGTAGGCTGACGTATCTCTTTAAATTTTAGGTCATTATTTCTGGATGCTAAATCCATTCAGACCACCATCTCCAGCTCGAAGAATTACCGAAGTCTGGGGTATCCCTTCCCCCATTGATACTGTTTTTACTAGATGCAATTGTGAAGGAAAAACTTTCTTCTTTAAGGTAACAAAAATACTGTTACGAGAAATCAGAAATTGTAAATTACAACGTAACATCACCCCAACTTCCAATTCATAAGTGTCCCCATATTTTCATGAACATTTTATCATCAGAATGACTTATTTTGATATAATGAATGGCCTACTTACTGAAACATTTAACTAAAAGTTAACACTTTCTGCCTATACTTAAGTTTAAGAATGATTTCCGACCCATTTTTTACCAAAGCTGTCCACACCATTTTCTCTCAATTTTCAGGATTCCCAGTACTGGCGTTTCACCAATGATATAAAAGATCCAGGGTATCCTAAATTAATTGCAAAAGGATTTGGAGGACTATCGGGAAAAATAGTGGCAGCTCTTTCAGTAGCTAAATACAAGAACAGACCCGAATCTGTGTATTTTTTCAAGAGAGGTATGTATTACATAATTGATAAAATTACAAAAACTTTTAAAACTTTTTATTTGATATTTTCATTTATTATTGGGTCTACTGTCAAAAGGTATCTTTTATGGCTGGAATCAAGTATTTCAATGAAAACTAAGGGCAGTTAGAAGTATTTAAATCTCTTGACATGAATATCAGTTATCTGAGTTAAAGCATCGATGTAAATCATCATTTACTTTCAGTTAAATACGTAACTATACAATTTGTTGGATTTATTCATTCAACATGTATTTCAGGGATGTGATTGTTTTAATAATACTCTATAAAGTATAGCCATCAATATCTGGACTTACTTTTTTGAAAGACAAAAATATTGATAATTTCCTTCAGTTGTAAAAGGCTTTTCTATCTTTTCTGGGTGGATTAATACAAATTTTCATATTCTATGTGATTTTCTAATACATAACAGGTGGTAATATTCAGCAGTATACTTATAAACAGGAGCCTATCAAAAAGTGCACTGGAAGAAGGCCTGCTATAAATTATTCAGTGTATGGAGAACCAGCACAGGTTCGGAGACGTCGCTTTGAACGGGCGGTAGGACCTTCTCAAACACACACCATCAGAATTCACTATTCTCCTGTCAGAGTTGCTTATCAAGACAAAGGTAACTTTTTAACTGTTAAACATTCCCATACATGAAGTAGATGTAGTATTTTCTTATACAGGATTATTAAATAAAAATACTAACCAAACAGTCATAGTAATTTAAATTTATTAATACAAAACACATCAATTTGCCTTAGTGAATAACCAAAGTTCAAATCTTCTTCTTCCTGGGTAAGGAAAGCAGTTCATTCAAGTTTGTTAATAAACACTATGTATCAAGTATCTCTTACCAAAGGCAATGTATAACAAATCCCAAACCCTCAACATAGTCCTAAAAGGTAGGTACTAGTGCCACATCAGAGGGCAAAAACTGAGCCACAAAAACTAATTCACTGGAGCGACTCAGTGAACAAACTGAGATTAAAATCCAGGTTTGTCGGCTGGGGATTTAGCTCAGTAGTTTTGCCACCTGCCCCACAAGCGCAAGGACCTGAGTTCGATCCCTGGTACCAAAAAAAAAAAAAAAAAAAAAATCCAGGTTTGTCCAGCTCTTTCCAAGATTGTACACTTCCTGATACCTTTCACTATAAATGTCATCAGCAGGTTTCCTCCATAATGAAGTTAAAGTGAGTACAATGTGGAGAGGATTTCCAAATGTGGTTACCTCAGCTATAACACTGCCCAACATTAGAAAACCTGATGGCTATGATTACTATGCCTTTTCTAATGGTAAGTTACTCAGTAAAATCATAATAGCTTCCCAAACAGATCTCACTTGCTAAAGTATGGATACAATTAAAGCAAAATGACAAATATACAATGCCAACTAAAAGTGATGAGTTCAACTATAACACTTATTTTAATTGCTGTGAGTCTTTTGCTTTAATTTCAAAATGGGAAAGGATTGCAATTCAATTCTATTTTTCACGACATTACGATAAAACATCTAATTACTTGGGTAAAACTGGTATCGAAAACAGTATTTTACCTGTCACCTGAGACATTTGACAAATGCCATTTGCATCTTATATAGCCCATATGATCAGAAAGACATTAAATTACATTATCCAGGATACTTTTCTATTAAAATCCCAGAAATCAAATTTATTCTATTACAATATGAATGACACCAGAATGTATTTTTAAAAATGGATAAAATCTAAGTGAATTATTTTCAGAATTTGGTCATTCTAAAATGCTTATTTCAAAAAAGAGAGAGTGGAATCTAATTTTACTCCAAAGATGTTGAAAGGTGAATCCACCAAGACAATTTTTTTGGTCAGGAAGTTCAAATGAATAAAAACATTTCTGCTATGAAAATAATAAACTCTGTCTTTGAGTATATTAACTCAAATTGTTGGAATTCAAGTGTTCGATTACTTTTAATTTAAAAAATGATTTCTCTTCCATTTAGATCAATACTATAACATCGATGTGCCTAGTAGAACAGCAAGAGCAATTACGACTCGTTCTGGGCAGACACTCTCCAAAGTCTGGTACAACTGTCCTTAGACTGATGAACAAAGAAGAGTCAACTAATTAAAACAAAGAAAAGATGATAAATTTTGACACTGAAATACAATTTATTAATAAAGAATGTTGAAATGAACATATCAATTTAAATACAAAAATGTTTTTCAACTCGACAATCATTACACTAAAACAGATTTGACAATCTTATTCACAACTACTAATAGTTTACAGACCATTTAATTAATATTTCCTCTATTTATCCCTCCTCTTCCTCCCACTGCATGGCTTACACCTGTAAGAGACCAAAAGAATGAATGATTTACAATATGAAATACCTGAAAACAATGGACATAAAATTATTACCTTTCTACATGCTCAATGGAGATCATTACAACAATTGGACTAATATTTTTATGATGTGAAGACAATCTAATAGCAACATTAGAAAACCAGGAAATGGGGCCAGGGATTTAGCTCAGTGGCACCATGCCTGCCTCACAAGCGCAAGGTCCTGAGTTCAATCCCCGATACAGAAAAAGAAAAAAAGAAAACCAGGAAATGTTTAGTACAGCAAAGTCACCAAGCTTCATTCTATTATATAAAAAAGCATTTAACAATAAATGACAATGAACATACAGCTCTATAACATTAGATTTTTCAAATCTTTGGATTTAAGAAAATCAAGAGTATAAGCTTGTACCGATAATATTTTAATTAAAAATATAGACTATAGATATGTCTATAAGAAGCTTCCTGGTTAGTAAATGTTCAATATATATAAAAATCAGTACTTGGTACATTTGAAAAAATAAATTGGAAGCTTTAAGATTAAAGAACTTGTTTCACTTATTATTCCACACTCTACTATATAATCAATATGTCAGAAATTTACCTCTTTGTCTGTTAAACTGACGACTACGGACACCTTGTCTCAGTGCTGTCTGAAGTCTTACACGTCTAAAAGGCTTTGGCTGACTACTGCTAGTATCTAGGAAAAACATTAAGATATAAGAAAAATACAAACAAAACAAAGCAGTTACAATGGCAGAACTAACACTATAAAGGCATGGACAAAAATGCATTCATTTGCTTTCAATATTCAAATTTGCTTTTTAACAGTGAAGGACATTTAACAAACAAAGTAAAAAATTAAAACAAACTTATTTAAAACGTTTGATTTTTTTAAAATTTACTCACCCAACTGTCATATCTGACTCATTTTCAGATACCTCATACCCAACCAGCAAATCCTACAGCTCAAACTTAAATAAGTATCCTAAATCTATTTTTCACTACATCTATCATCCTGTTAACACCATCATCTTTATCCTCAGTTATTGCAGTAGCCTCCACACTTTGTCCTTGTTTCTGCCCATTACTCACTTTCAGTCTCTTCTATATACCACAGCCAAACTGATAACCAGGTCACATTACTGCTCTATGTGGAACCCTTCAATAGTTTCCTATATCCATAAAACCAAAGCAATCACAAAGATCTACTTGATCTAGTCTCCCGCTAGTCTCTGCCCTCATCTGTTCCAGCAGTGTTACACTGGCCTCTTGGCTGATTTTGAAAACACCAGGTACTCAGTGATGACTTATGGACTTCCCATCAGTGACTTCCTTTGACCCAGAACACTCTTCTTCCAAAGAACTATATAGCATTGATCCCTTTCTTCTTCAGGCCTTTACTTAAATGTCACTTTCTTAATAACATAATGGCAGAAATTCAAACATTTCCTGACCAAATAAACAGCTACTCAGATGGGGAGACACAGTGTTCTGTATCATCAAATTTAAAGGCATCTTTTTTTTTTTTTTTGGTGCCAGGGATTGAACTCAGGACCTTGCGCTTGCGAGGCAGGAGGCGGAACCACTGAGCTAAATCCTCGGCCCTAAAGGCATCTTAACTTCTTCACAAGTTATTGCTGAAAGATAATTCTTACAGAGTATCAGAATATACCTGATGATGCAGAACATTAGGCAGTAGTTTTATTATTAATTATGATAGCTACAATTTTTAAGCCTGTGTATGGAACACTGAGTTTAATAATTTACATGTGGTTTCTAATTCTGATCGAAACATTACACATATCTATACTTCATGATAAAATGAGCAGAGATTGAAAGTTATCAAGTGTTAAAAAGGTTGATAAGAGATCTGAACCTAGAGATGCTGGCCAACAAGTTGATGTGTCACAGAAAAGCAGCTATAAGGCATAGGAAGAGATTTTGGGATAGCCAAGTTCTATGACTATAAATGTAATAAATGAGTGTGTGCTTCTCACAAAATCTGAAGCTTCTATGGCAGTTTCAGATGTTTTCTGCTATAAACAATTAAAATGAGAATAGTTAGACTGAAGTACTGTACTTTCTCAATAATAAAGGTCGGGCTGGGGATGCAACTCAATGGTGCCGTAATCGTAAGGTCCTGGAGTTTGATCCCCAGTAGTGCAGAAAAAAATAATAAAAATTTTGAGACAAATAAACTAGTATAATAGATTACTTAAGATAGAATCTCTGGAGTCAAACTTCCTGAATTTCCTTCTTGGCTCTTCCATTACTTAATAGCTATAGTAACCCTGAGAAGTTATTCACTCTTTCTGTGCCTCAGCTTTCTGCCCTCCATTCTTCCCTTCCTTCCTTTTGTAGTACTGAGGATTGAAGCCAGAGTCTTCACACTGAGTTGCATACTCAGGCTGTTTTTTTAAAAAAACTGCATTTTGAGACAGGGTCTCATTAAATTGTTAAGTTATCTGAGCTGGGGTTGAATTTCTGATCTTCCTGCCTCAGCCTCCCAAAGTGTGGGGATTATGTATGTGTATCACCATGTCCTCTGGGTTGTTGTGAGAATCAAATTAGTTAACAGAAGGGGGAATTAAAAGTTATGACAAATGTTTAAGAAAAAAATCAATTATTATAGTAGAAGACATATCGCCAAGAACAATAGGAGAAGTGTGTTCAAAGCAAAGGATTGTATTTTGAGGGAGAATAATGGCAATGTGTCTTTTACTGTAATAAATTTTTAAATTTAAATATTTTAGGGCAATTTGTGTCATATAAGAACATTATAGTGTGTCCTCATCTGCCTTATTTACTGGATCTGGCACCATGCAACTTCTGGCTCTTTCCCCAAGTCAAAGTGACCATGGAAGGTAAACATTTTGAATTGCTTCAAGGTATGAAAGAGGCACAACAGCATAAGTAAAGACATTCATGAAAAGAGGAGTTCCAGAACTGCTTCAGAAAGTGGCAAGAATGGTGGGATAAGAGTGTTTATAGTAATGGAGGGTACTTTGAGGGGAATTAATGACAATGTACTTTTACTGTAATAAATTCTTAAAAATTTCAACATTTACCATGTTTTAACTGTACCTCATACAGCCTGAAACATTGAGTACTCAATAAATACTACTGTTACTGTCTTAAACAACAATTCTACAGAAGAAACTTTTATTATAGGCAACGAATAATATTTTTCAAAGTTAATTTCAAGAACTTGAAAAACCAAACTCTGAAACTTTAATAAACTTCAAGCATATTTTTCAAGCAACAGGATCCTCACTCCCAACCCCCCTTTATCAATCTCAGATAGAACTGTAATACACAGGCCAAATATATATGAAGATGCTCTGGTTTAAATAGATAAGAGACCCAAGAGGTCTATGAGAGCAGAATATATGTTGACAACCATTAATCTAGATGAACTAAGAGGGACCTACTCTTTCAATATGGATCCACTGTGTCTGCGTTTCTGTCAATGGCAGAATAGCCCTATAATAATGTTTATGCAAAAATAAGCCAACTTTCTTTTAATGATAAAATTTCCCCTTTAAGTAATGAATTTGAAAATTCAGAAAACAGAGATTATTGATGGTTGTTAATGAAAGTGTCTTTGCAAATAAGTTTGATGTATATAAGTTGTACTGTGGCAAGACTTACCTACAGAAGAGCTGGAAGGAGGATCCTGGCTGGTAGAAGGGAGATCCGACTCATCAGATGCCTGAACAGGCTCTTCTTCCTGCTGGCTATCAATTTCTAGGCCCGCTTCTGAACTAATACTGAAAAGAAAACAAAAACTGACTAGAAAGAATAAAACTGGTTCTGGAATGTATCTTAATTGTTCCCAAATTCTTTCTGATATGCACTAGTTTACCACGTAACCAGTCTCCTTTAACTGAAAATTATACACTCTGACATTGGTAATTATGTTTTTGAAAGAAGGGGAAGAAAGAGCTCAAGTTGTTTTTTCCTCATTCTTTTTCTCAATAGGAAATGTTCTACGTTTTATTCGTTTTTCTTTTTTTCCTCTTTACCTTTTTTCCTTTTGACAGGAATATTCACATCCTTGACATTCACAGGAAACAGTATCTAACTTTTGGTAAATCCCAAAACAACTTTTTAGGAAAGCAAAGTACCAAAATAGTTCACACTAATCACAATTATTAATATACACCAGTAAATCACCATGGGTTCTAGCCTGGGTAAGATAGACTAAAAGGTATGTGAAAGCCCTGGATCAATAGCTACAATCCCATTTTTCTCCCATTTAGGAAGCAACTGATGGAGATAGTATAAGAATTTTTTTGTTAACATCTGCAGGGACTAACCTAGTTATAAGTAACAATTTACCGGAGAGATGTTTTTGAGAACTGTGTGCTAAAGTTGTGAAATGTAAAGTGCATGGGGCTGAAATAAGGGCTTTTAGTCTGAGCTGGTAGTCTAAGCAAGTTACTGTATTTTAACATGCTGAGTCTTTGGTTTTATTATTTGTAGAGTGGAGATTAATTTGCAGGGATATTATCTGGATTAGAAATGACATACATGAAGTGACCTGAATACACGGTATGGCATAATGGCAAGTACTCTTCCCCAAATAAAACAGCATTGTGTTAGAGAATAACGATAGACCTGCTCTTTACCTCCCAGACTACAGATGACCTACCTATATGAAATGTTGCTACATAAAGTGCTTGAGCTTTATCTTAGGAAATCTGGGTTCTATTTCTAGCTATGCTTCAGTAGTTCACATTTTTCATTTTATTAAAAAATAGGTTCCAGTTTGAAAGTTAACTTCTTCAAGACTACTGTTCAATTCCTCTTTCCATTAAATTATTCTGCTTCCTTTGGATTAAG